TTAGAAAAATGTATGAGACTGGTATCTCGGATTGGGGGTCCCAGTCTTCTGTTAGAAGGTGTTGCCCCAGGCCGGTAGCATAACCATTGACCACTATCCTTGCGGAACTTTGACTGGTGTGCCTAACCCCTCCTTGATATGGGGGATTCCCAGTCGGGATTCAGTACGTGTAGTACCGAACAAGCGAAGTAAGTTTAACAATCATATTATTATTATCAGAAAGAGTACTTCAGATGAACTACCAGTGTTCAGCAATTTTAGCTACTCAGCCACTATTAGACCGAGAAAAGCTAAACTAGAAAAGAACAGTAAAATCAAATTTAAAAAAGTGTGAAAAAAAGAAGAAATTTGAAAAAGAATTTATTGGTTTAAATCCTACTTCAGTGCCTATTTTATATTAAAATTTCATGTTTTCGACCCAAATTCGTTGAGTTACTGCGAAACCAAAGTACTTTGTTTTAACAATAAGTCATTCGGCACACAATTATAAAATATGCAATTGACCCTCTGAAACTAGTAATTACTTTTATCTTTGCGAAACATAAAAGCATGGAACATTTAACTGATTAAAGCAAGACAATCTGTTCATTAATTGAACAAATCCCCATTTCTGGAAACTGTCTTATTTTCTAGAATACTACCGAGTGCCTACGTTGCCACGTATTGGATATTAGTTAAGTTGAGAAATCTTAGTCTCATTAGCGCAGCTTTTGATTTTGAACAGAAAATAAAAATCACAGCGAGTTGTCAGTTCGAAAGACTAGATGATTTAATTGGATAACAGCATTTTTAGCCGAAAATTGTTCTCACAGGTGACAGGTGACGGAGGACGGGGACGCCTGGTGTTTAACATAGGTAAACAGGCGTGTGTCCCACGCCCTCCCCTATCTAGGAATAACAACTCCCTGGGGCCCCGTGAGGCTGCCTCGGGAGTTTATAATACAGATCTAAAGATCAATACATGGCCAAACAGGGCCTGAGGATTATTGTTTGACAATGGTTGCGTGACAATAACTTTGTGGGTGTGCATGGCTGTTGGAATAATACAGATACATAAAAATATACAAAACAAATACAAGAATAGATACATATACAGGCAAAAACAAACAAATTCTAACAGATACGAACATAAGGATGCATTGATATTAAGGTAAATATGAAGAGAGACACATATGTAAGATACAAGAGTAAAAACAAGAGTAATAAATACTTATAAAGTCATATGTGTATTGCTGGTATCCTTGGGGTTGCAAATGTGCTGTGAGCACTTAAACACAGAGATGAAGCTATTAGTACCGGATGTCGAGTTATGGTGCCAGGAGTTAGTGTTAGAGTTCGCTGAAAGTACAGTCTACACTTGTAAGGATCTTAAGTTTTACTAACGTTTATTTTATTTTAAATCTTTACTATCACTTCTTATTTTCTACTTCCGGCCAGAATTATAAGCGTGAAGGAGTTTATGCAAAGTTGTCTGGCGAACGCCAAGTATTTAAGTGTGGCCTTTTTGCCAAGCAGAAGAGAGGAAGCCGTGAGTTCGAAGCAGGCCGCTTACCTTAGAAGTTACGCAGTTGCTACTTTGCCTTCCAGGCCAGAGGTTTTAATCCTCTTGATAAATTAAACGTATTGTAGTGTTCACAGTCTCTGTGCTACATACGCTTTCTGTTATTATAAGGCCAATCTTATTCTAAAGTTAAATTAGAGTTTAGTTTTATTTTGATATCTTTTAAGTTAGACCCCGAGTGGAGGGTCATTGTATTCCGAAGTACGGAAGTCATTGTATATAAAGAAAAAAATAAAGGGTTTTGTATACCCTTCGTCTGTATCCTGTCTACTTACTACAATTAGTGAACATAGCTTTAGTAAGCTCTCTGTTCTAGTCAGGTCATTGTATGTTTCCGAAGAAGGTTAGAAGAAACATTGAACCTGATACACTATAGTTCAAATTTGCAAGAGTTCAGGCTACACTAAAGTTTAGTGTACACTGTGATACTAATAGCACTAAATTTGGAGTTTGGCACAGTCACTAAGTTTTAATGACTGTGCCAAACTCCAAATTTAGTGCTATTAGTATCACAGTGTACACTAAACTAATTGTTCTCACAAGAAGCGTACTCCATATATATGATGCTAATTTTTTCTTAATTAATTTGTAGGTTTTTAAATAATAATTTCATATTTATGTCGTACGCCATATCTAATTTTGTCAGATTATCTCGAATCTCATAATGAGTTAACATTTGCATCCGTGCTTTTCGTAATGTACCATTTGTTTCTGGGATCATCCGTCACATCTCGCTAATCTTGAATCTTCAAGGCTGTACAAATACAATCGACATTGTCATGGCATCTTCACTGCATACCATTGTCAACAATTCTAACACTTCAGTAGCTCTTTTCCAGACTTTTACCAAAATTTGAATTTCATATAAAACTTCAAATATTGAATGCCCATTTTTATGCTAAAGTGCACAGTTAGGTACTTGTGTCATCTGCAGTAATTACCTAATATTTATCTCTGCCATCTTGAAATTCATACACGTATGAGCTTAGACATGTTCAAGCAAATAGTCACATGAATTAGATACAGTTACGTCAGACACCACAAGGCACCTCCAATCCAAGAACTATAACTGTATCTGTTTTAATCAATTGAATTCGCTACTTCGTCTACGTGCACCGTCTACGTGGTCTACGTGCACTACTGTCTACGTGGTCTACGTGCACTGTCTAGGTGGTCTACGTGGTATTTCTAAAATCGGCAGCAGTCGCTGCCGATTTTGGAAATACCACGTAGACAGTACACTAAGAGGAAGGAGCACCCAGACCTGGTTAGCACAAGACTGCCTTTGCACAGTTAAACGCTCAACCCTTAGAGGCGATCCAAGGAGGCATAACCCTCCCTTTTAATCCTGGGGGACAAATTTTATCTCATAAAGTCTGGGTAATTCACACAAAGTCACAGTGATAGGCATCTACGCATCCACCTAAAAATCAAAGAACGCTTGTTTGACATCGACTGTCCCCAGTGTTGATCGACTGTCCCCAGTGTCCCCAAGGACAACATTCGATATCAAACCATATAGGGTCACCACAACCAAGGGGCAGACAAGATAGTCCCTGCCAAGCCACTTGGTCCCTGCCAAGCCTGAACCTACCCAGGGCTTTTTCTTTAGCCCTGGAACCTACCACCAAATAAACGATGGTTCTAGCCACTGTGAAGACTTAATTTTCCCCCAGGAGTCTGTCTAAATATTGACCTAGCCAGAACGCTGGAATTGCTCTTAGTCACCCAATAGGAGGAATAGTACGTAGACAGCAAGTAGACCAATAAAACAAGTAGATAAATTTCATGAGTAAAACCTCATTCTATTTTTAAACTCATCCTGCATTTGGAATGAAACTCGTGATAAAGTTTTTTCGTGTTTGTTTCAATATTTTATGCCTTTCAAGATCTCTTATTTCCTTCATTGCTAATTACGGCTCTTGCAAGTGACATCTGATAGTGTCAACAGAATGAATGGTCTTTAAAATGAAACTGGAAACAGATAAAAAGCGTTGCTTATATACGTCATAATAGCTCTTCAAAGACAATGAGTTTTCATTGTAACAGATGCCCAACCAATCAAGCAAAAGCTGTCTGATTGACGCTCATGAGCAATAAGCTTTCGTCAGTAAGCATGAACAATAAACATTTGAGTTAATTTTAAAATAATTTTTAATTGGATGTTAAATATTGATATGATGACTTTTTGGCACTAACGAAAGTGAAATTAAATTACAACTGAATGATGAATGCTACAAATGAAGATTATCTTCCATAACATTTGAGGATTAGATCATTCACCTTTTATTCGGATCAAATTCGACTGATATGAATGTATAACATGTTTGTTAGTGACATTTCTGATACTATAAATAAATAACTAGAAGTGTTTTTGTTTTTGTTGTCGTGTTCATATTACACGGAACAATGGTTGCCAGAGCTTAATCAAACAGAGGTTCGACTTATATTTTCCACCCCCAGTTTCGAGGAAGAGCATTCCAGGGGCGTGGTCCAAGGGTCTCCTACCCTTCTCCCTTTTCACCTAACTACACGAGAGGACTTTCGGCTTGCCGCATTTTTGTACTGCTCCCATGCCGCACAGGCACTATACATTTACAAACATCCATGTTTTCTCCGAGATTCGAACACTACAAGTGAAAAAGTGTGTTGCATTAGATTAGGATATGAATGCGATTTAAAAAAAAATCTAAACGCAACAAATTTAACAAACAATAGAAGGTAGCATACCTAAAACAAGATGATAAAATAGACAGGCAAGCTTAATTCATTACTGCGTTTTAGTTCAGTTTCTAAATGAACATTTTAGCAAAAAATACACACAGATAACTTTAACTAATAGGCCTTAATTTAACAAAAATATACTAGATCAATAGTCTTCTTATCATATGCTGAAATTATCTGCTTAATGTTCGTGGAACAGCTATCTTCAAATATTCAAGTGCACTGACCATGATCGGGATTATTAAGATTATGGTAAAGTATTCGAGGTCCAGCTGATTAAACGAAGAAATGTCGTTTAGTAAGCTGGACATTATTAAATCATTCAATAACCTGGACACTAGAAAAACGAAAGTTTTTTTAAAGAGAATTGGCTTGAACTCAGATTACACTCAAGGAAAATCTATCAAATCTCCCATACAATCACTCGTTTCGGCAGAATTTGAATCCGGGTCAAATTACCAGTGCTCAGTGGTTTTACCGCTCGGCTGCTGGAATGTTCCATGGCCATAAAACATCGGTCACAAAATATTTATATTATTTTCTTGAAAGAACTTTATGCAGTGAAATGTTAGTCTATATTTTCCAAAAAAAAAGTTATCTCCCCTTTACACATTGAACAATCGACGAAAAATCTGCGCGTGAGTCACTGATGAAACAATAGATAATATTTTAAAAAATTAAATTTATTTGGAGTTCAATATACATTTGTACTTACTTTGCATAGGCTTTCTCTAGTAATGCTGCCCAAAATTGGTTGGAATGTTGCGAATGAATAAACACCAATTTTCCATTGACTGTTGGTAATCTGTCATCTACCAAGACTTCTTGCCATTCACCACACCACCATAAGCGGAAACGGAAAACTCCCGCATAATCTGTGTCTAAAGAATTCAAAGAGTCCAGCGTAGAACTGAAAGTTTGGTCCGCAGGAACTACACGATAAAATAATCCTTTAGTAATGCTTAGACATCCCAATGCTGATACAAGCCAATGGTCACCTAGGAAAAGAAATATGATTATTAAATAGAAAATTAATGATGCGTTGCTTGCTTCAAGGCCTGCTCATATCAATTAAATTCGGAAAGCATAGTTCAGAATTCGCAAATGTACAACAATCCACACATAGCAACACATTTGCAAATTAGCTTTGTGATGATGAAAGGTCTCAAGAGTCTATGCGAAAACAGCGTCACTTAAATTAATATTTTTACCTGTGTTGCAGTAAAAGTAAAATACGTTGCATTAGTTCGCGCATGAGAGAATCTCAACAAAACTATTTTAGTAAAATCTCTTTATAATATATTGTTGCGAAACGCCCAGCTGCGGTAAGATAGCTTCCCCATAAAGCGGGATTAGGGGTTGCCAGAAAGTGGTAAGGAAAGGTAGGGTTACTAGATTTGGCGCGAAAGCGCCCATTTGGAGGCAAAATTGGCGGTATGCCATAGATGGAGCAAAAACATTCTAGAACGAATTCTTACTAGTTTTCCAGAGAATGTACACGATGGAGTACATTACAATTTATCGAACGCAATGAGGATTTGAAATGATTATGTCTACTTACCTAATTTTCCTGGTGTAATATCATACTGTAAGGTTCCATCTTGTATGAATACTGGATTAGAGCACAGCTCCTAAGGGAGGGGAAAAGGAAACATTTTCATTAAATTTAAGGACATAACGAATGAAGAAACGATTCTTTTTTGCAGTCTGAAAGCAATTATATAAACTTACAAATAATTGTTATAGAACTTAAAAGACCTGATGTGGACATTACATGACTTCTTTGTACGTCCTGTTAAAATACACACATATTTTGCTGCATTACGTTTAAACTTATTTCATTAGAGATATATTTCTCACTCAATTAATTTAATCTCACTTCGCGGCAAGGCAAAAATATATAAAAACTCAAAAAGTCTTCATTAAAAATTATAAAATACAGAATACAAACACAAAGACCAACAACGAACTCTCATTCAAGTTTTTTTAGTTCGGTGCCGATTAACAAGTAAAAACACACAATCCAGAAGCAGAGAAAAAATCACGTCTTTTTTTTAAGGGGAAGGGCAGGGATAAAACCAGAAGAAGTACTGTTTGAAACAGATATTTGCCTGAAACAGGCACGTGACTATATGGTAATGGCCTAATGAATCCAATCTTTGTGTTTTTCTTAGATAATTTTAGTTCAAAGGGGCAATTTCCTTGAAGGACTATTATTTTCGTTTTGAAATTTTGCGTTGAAAACTTTAAAAGGCTGCATCACTTTTCAAATCGTTGCCACCATACATTTTCGCCCTGTCTTATATTTAAAGAAATGAAATAATGAAGAATCTGCATACATGTATGTATGTTTCTTGCATAGTGATAAAACGACGGTACCTAGAGCCATCAAAATTTGAATAGCGTAATCTTCCATAGAATATGGGCATGTGGAAGCCCTAATTTGAATTTGAAATTTGTTTTATTACCGATTTCATATTTTGTAACACTTCAACGAATTTCTGATTAACAAATCAAGCGATTTCAAAGCGAGCAATGTCACCACTATACAGGAAAAAAAATCTTTATCTCCAGCGCGAGAGACTCTGTTTCGAAAATTCTAAAGATATGGTCATTTTAAAATTAATTTGCGATATTGCTGTTGAACTGAATTTTATAGTTTGAGTACGTAGAACATGATATCTAATAAATAAAGGTAACGCACAAATCGTCCCTTTGGACGTAATTTATTTAAAATCTGAAACCTTACTGTTTTTTTTTTTTTTTTTTTGTTGTTGTTGTTTGTTTTGTTTGTTTGTTTGTTTGTTTGTTTTTGTTTTTGTTTTTTGATTTTATGTGTGATGAAAATTTTTCATTCGTTTCATAACAAAGTTAACATTTTTAGACAAGTCCCGATTAATTCACAAACTGTTTAATCTAGAGTTGACTGTATCTGGACAAGACTGTTGAATTTTGAATTGTGAACAAAAATTTGAACTGTAACCGAAATATTATTTATTAAATTACACTGAAAAAAAGAGCCTCGAGATTCAAGAAGTTTATTTATTTATTTTACTAAATTTCCTTTCATTTTAAAACCCTTAACATTAAAAAAAAATTCTTTCCTTTCTATTATTCTTATTTGATGAATTCGGATTCAGGAAAATTTAAGATTTGACCTGTTTTCAATAAATACTTTCCGTCTAAATTCTCCTGTTTTACTTCCTTGTACGAAGTAAAGGAAATATTGTAATCGAGAAAAATTTCGAGTATAATATTTCGACGAAAGTATCCATTTCAATCGCTCCCGAAACCATTTAAACGATTTTTTGCGTGACATCTGTACGTACGGGCAGAATAAAGGTCTTTTTTGCCTAAAAGGATTGCAAATTGGATTTAAAACGCATTCAGAAGAAATGTTTTCTTGACGTATGTATGTACCTTGCATAACTCAAGAACGCGTAACCGTAGAACGTTGAAATTTTGAATATGAGAGTGCTCTAACATGCAGTTATGCATCTCCCTTTTTCGTTGCAATCGGATGTACCAATCTTATATAAATATATACATAAATTCCGACTCTGTTACCTGACTTGGTGAGCTTCATTTTTTTATTCTTAATTGTTGGTAAATTGTGTTTTTTTTCTTTTTTTTTTTTTTTTTTTTTCATTAAAATTGACTTAAATATGTGGTTTTTATGTTCCAGTTAAGGTTTTTATGCGTTTAGCTAATCTGGGTGCAATAGTTCTAGAATTAAGTGCCGAGTTAAGAACCGCTATTTGTTTGCATTTGAAACTCAGTAGAATAGTGAATTATGTCTGTTTCTGCATCTTTACTATCTTTTCGCCGACTAGGATTAAAAGTAAACTTTTCGTTTTGTCACCGAAAAATCTGCCTTTTTGCCCGCTGGCCGAATTGTTTGTTTTTGCGTAGAAACCCTAATTTTAACTCTAAAAATTGTTTTTTAAACTGTTTTAACTGTATTTGGTGTTTTATGTTTTTATGTACAATTTTTAATGAAGATGTTTTGAGTTTTTATGCATTTTTGCTATGCCACAAAGTAAGAACTGAATTAATTGAATGAAAAGTATATCTCGTAAGTAAAATTCGAGGAAATAAGTTTAAATTAAATGCGCAGCAACATGTGTATAATTTAATAGGCCATACAAGGAAGTCATGTGGCGTCCACATCAGATTCTTTTTTCTTTAGATTATATTAAACATTAGTGAAGAAATTTGGTTTCATTGTTATTATTTCTTTTGATGAGAGTAATCTGAACATCAACGCTCTCTACTTTAAGTTAACTCACAATACATTTCTGAATCAAACTGAATCTGAATAATTTTCAGACAGACACATAATGCATTTGCAAGCTGAACGATGAATACGCATTTCTCTAAATATAGGTCTCTCGGCGCCCGAAGTAATAACCCATTACGCCCATAGATGAAATAGTTTAAGTAATCTGAAACGTTTGTCTAGGTCACTCATTCTTAGCTGCCAGTTATTATTCAGGAGGTGTTGCTTACCTGAAGGATACAAAAAATAATGAACCGCCTTATTGATCTCGAATTTACCAATATGTAAAATGGAAATGTATTACTTAATGTGTTTTCTTTAATAAACGATATATCGCTAATTTAAAAGATTAGATAAATAAAGAGATGTTGATCATGAGATGATTAAAAGAGATATCGCTATTTTGCTAAATTTCAATTATATTTAATTATATTTAACTTGTTAGTACTAAATTTTTACAGCAGTGTGTATTTTGTAATACCGTATTTAACCAAAGATTTCCTCTAACATATTATCCTCTCCTTTTTCTGCGTACGATCTAGAAATTTCTGACTTTTTTTTAACACCATAAAAAGTATAAAGAAATAGGAAATTGCACTGTGTAGGTAAAAAGGAATTTTACTGAAATTAATAATACTAACTTACTATATAAAATGCAATAATAATATGATTATTTATATCTTGCGTTCTTTGTTTAAATCCTTTTAGAAACGATATACCTAGCGCATCATTTCCATCCCAGTTTTAACAGGTAAAATATGCGAAGAGGGCAAAATACGCGAGTAAGTACAGCAATCAAGAATACAAAAGACTTGGCAACATTTTACATTACATTAAATTAGACTTGAACCTTACAATTCGGTTTTTCAAACCAAATTGGCTCCTATCCTATTTGCTCTTAAGTGGACTGAGGAAAACCTGACTGTAAAAACATGTTACACTGCTGGCCATTAAAATTGCAACACCAGGAAGGAATGATCTGACGAACGTCAGGGAATCACATGAAAGGAAGAAGAGGTTGAGATATGCAAATGATAAGTATTTCAGCCCAATTAGACGACGCAGGAGGGAGAAACGACATCTGGAGGTCGGAGTCAGAATATCATGTCATGCCTCGAATAATAAGAAGAAATACCAGCAAGTGTCGGAATGCAATAGAAGAAGGATTGTTGCTAATCGAGAGTGTGGCTTATCGTTTCGTGATATCGCCCGTCGCACTGGTCGACATCCAACCACTGTGATGCGCATATGGAATCAGCAGGTCATATCGAGCGGCATGCAGAATCTCAACGCCCACTTATAACTAACGCCCGAGAGGACAGACATATTGTAAGGTCAGCCCTGAAAACGTACAACCACATCACGGACCATTAGTCAGAAAATGGGCATGTTTGTAGCACGCCCAGTACCCGCTCGTACGGTGCATCGACGCTTGCAGCCGCCTGGACTATCAACACGATGACCATTACTTAGGCTTGCATTGACAATGCAGCATAGAGAGAGACAGCAACTCTGGAGCGCCGAAAACAAAGCTAGATACAGGAATGGCACAACATCGTATTTTCAGACGAGTCCCGGTTCTTCGTGCAATACCCTGATTGCCGTATACGTGTCTAGAGGCTCCGATGAGACCGCACTTCTTCTGCTTACATTCGATATTGGAATAGGGACCCTGCACCTGGTGTAATGGTTTGGGCAGCCATTGGATGCACGACACACATATCTCTAGTTCAGATCGACGGTAATTTGAACACAGATCGGTACATTTCTGACATTTTACGTCCTGTGGTTGTGCCGTATCTTCGAGGCCCGCAAACACCATTTTCCGACAAGATAATGCAAGACTACATGTTGCACGTCGTGTTCTGACCTTCCTCGATACACAGGATATTTGATTACTTCCTACTCTGCACGGTCTCGAGATTTGTCACCCATTGAAAACATCTGGTCATAGGTTGCTGAGAGACTGGCCCGTCATCCCTCCCCAGCTAATACGGTTGAAGAAGTATGGCACAGACCTGAAGCAGTATGGAATGAGTTGCCCGTTTCTGTCATTTAAGCCTAGTTGGACTTTATGCCTAACCAGGTAAGGGGCGTTATAGATGTCAAGGGTGCAGCTGTTTCTACCAATTTCGTGCCTCTGTAAACTCCCAAACTGCTTACAAGTTTAATCATTTTATCTTCATGCCATACTGTTTACGTACAATAAATACATTTTTTGTATTTGCTTTTTTCCTTCATGGTGTTGCAATTTTAATGGCCAGCGGTATATATATAGACTCATTATCTGTTTTGGAAGCACTAGCAGAAGTTAACACTAATATTTTGGTCTCATATATAAAAGACCTCCTC